CATTATGCTATCATTCTACTCTTATTCCAGATCGCGGTCTGAGAGGGAAAGAGACGAAGCTTGGGAAGACTTATTGTGCCAGTTGTTCAAGTCGTTGCGCCTACGCGATGCTAATGATGACGTCCCCCATGGAAGTGGGTATTTTGAATGGGAGTGTCCTGTACACTGGGGGCACCGAAGGTGTGGATGCTCTCGCCGAGGAATTGGCCAGAAGGTATGACATGAGTGTTTGCGTCATCATTCCGCCCACTCACTCCCGTGCCATTCATATCACGCCTTTGACAGAAAGCATGTTGCACGAGGGTTTGCAGCACGTGTTACGCGCCAACAAGACGTTGCAACGCTCTCTACCCAATAACGTGTTAAAGACGGGACTGTTACAGAGAAACTATTGGGTGGTGAGGGATACCAATCTCGTGCTGGCCTTCGGACATTTCGACACAACCAAACCCCACACGTTACAGGGAGGAACCGGTTGGAGCGTGCAAATGGCGTTGGAGCAACAAAAACCCGTGTGCGTCTACACAGACCGGTGGTACCAATTTGACTACCCGCAACAGAGATTTGTCCCATGTCACCCGCCCTACCTACACCCCCAAAACACTACCATCGTGAGAAGCAGACGCATCACTTTTCAAATGACAAAAGAATTACACAATTTATTTCAGAGAACCATTCAGATGGAAACTAGACCGTTACCGAATTTTTGGTGTCATTAACATTGTAAAAAAACAAATATGGTGTGATGACGTAGAACTCGGTATATAAGTATAGTCTCCTTCCCAGTATTCCTCTTTTGCCTCAGTCAACATGGAAGCAGGACCACCAGACTTTGGAAGCTTCGTACAAGACGTGGATGATGAAACTCTACTAGGTGTGGCTAGGAACGAAGAAGGCGAGAATGAATTTGTAGAAGACGTGGCGGACGTCCTATTCAACGAGGTAGGTGAAGCTTTTGACCGTCAATTTTCCTATCAATCTCAACTGGGAGGCGCAGCCCTTTCCTCTTCCGCTCCTCCTGGTTCTTTCGAATTTCTTTTGGATCCCTTTGTGGATCGCAGGAGTGAACGCATGGGAGTGCAAGAGCGACACTACACCATGCGTCTGAGACAACGCGGTGCGTTCATTCCTTCCCAGCACGTACCTTCGGCTCTTACCGAAGCCCTGCATGCTGCCGTCCGTCGTCTCATCAAACAAGACCACGTCCCGGCCCAAGATCGCGTGTACCTGGGACTGTCGAGTAATCGACTATCCCACACTTACAATTATCGCGGTCTGACGGCCGACGAATGGCTTCGAGGTGGGGCGCGGGTGGACGCCCTTCTGTAACAAATGAGCACCATGCTCAACTCCAACGAACAGTTCGAAATGGATGATTCCTTCCAACTCTCCTTGACGCACGTGCACGCGCCTCCGTCGGGTTCCGGTCGCAAACGCAAGTTGAAACCCGGCCATTCCGCCTTGACATCCTTCAAGAAAAAGAAGCTGTCCGTGCTCCTCATTAAGAACAGAGATGAGCTTTGTTGCGCCAGAGCCATCATCACGGCCAAAGCCAGACTTGATCAACACCCCAACTGGGACAGGTTCAAAAGAGGCAGAAGGATCCAAGCAGAACATGCAGTAGACCTTCATCACGAAACGAGAGTTCCCCGAGGTCCGTGTGGGTACGACGAACTCGGAGCCTTCTCTCTTGCTCCTTCTCTCTACGACTATCAAATTCTTCTCTGTGATGCCACGCGCGGGTATGTCGTGACGTCGTTTGGCCCACCTTCACAAAAGCAGCTCGTCCTCCTCTATGACGACGGCCATTACGACGTCATCACTTCTCTACCTGGATTCTTTGGCACCTCCTACTTCTGCGCGAGGTGTCTCAAACCCTACGACAACCAAGGTCACCACGCCTGCGACAACAACCCGGACCATTGCAGTGCCTGTCTCCAGACTGGATGTCCGGATTACACCGAGGCCCGATGCCGAAGTCTTCCGGCGATGCAGACCTGCGATTCATGTAGACGGATGTTCTATGGGACAGCATGTCTCACCAATCACGTGTCTAAGACACAGAGTGGGAAGACCGTGGATCACCAGCAACTGAGCGTCTGTACAAGTTGTAGGAAGTACGGCAACTGTCGCGAACTCCTTGTGGGTCGCAAACAGCAACAAGAACACCGGTGTGGCTACGTCACGTGTCCTTCGTGTCACCATTACGTCGAAGCCTTGTCGCATCGGTGCTTCATTCAAGTGGCTAAGACTCCCGAGGAAGAACGGGCGGAACGTCGCGCCAAACGAAGACCTGGTCGTCTTCTGCATGGTGCTGCTGCCGGCTTGGCCACCGTGCACTCCAACGAGGATGATGTGCCCTCCACTTCTCTTCTTCCTTCACCTCCTGCGGACGGTGTCGACCTCAATGACAAAAAACCTCCGTTACACGTATTCTTCGACGTGGAGGCCATACAGGACACGGGACGTCACGTTCCGAATCTTGTTGTGGCCGAAACCGAGAACGAGAAGCGTCCAGTCCGCTTCCGGGGAGACTCGTGCATGCGCGACTTCTTGGAGTGGCTGGACACGTTGACGGAGGAGGACAGCCGAGAGGTCAAGGTGTTGGCCCACAACTTCCAAGGGTACGATGGTTACTTTGTCGTCAAAGAGTACCATCGTCAACACCGCATCGTCCAGCAGTTGAGGAACGGTACCAAGCTGTTGCAGGTCACCTTTGATCGCATCACCTTTATAGATTCTCTCTCCTGCTTCCAAATGCCACTCTCGGCCTTTCCCAAGACGTTCGGTCTCACCAAACTCAAGAAGGGGTATTTTCCGCATCTCTTCAACACCCTTTCTAATCAATCCTACGTCGGACGCATTCCTGACACTTCCTACTTCATGCCAGACGTCATATCTGTATCTGGACGACGGGACTTTGAGGCGTGGCATACTCAACAACGTTTGGCCATCGTCATCTACGACTTCCAAAAGGAGTTGACTGAATACTGCGAGTCTGACGTCAAACTCCTCAAGCAGGGGTGTCTCTCCTTCAAGTCCGTATTCGAGCCTCTGGCTCGCTTCAATCCCTTTTCCCACATCACCATCGCCTCTGCTTGCAACCGGGATCTCCGTCAGAACCGCAAGGAAGCTGACACGATCGCCAACGAACCGCTCCACGGGTGGTGCTTGAACACCAATCATTCTCGCGTCGCCCTGGAATGGCTCCACTGGCAACAGCACCAGTTACCGGATGAAGACGATTACATCCGACATGCGGGCAATTCTGGCGAGTACCATTCCCGGTACACGGTAGACAGATACCATGAGAAAACCAACACTGTCTACGAGTTCCTAGGCTGCTTTTGGCATGGTTGTCCGGTCTGCTATTCCAATCGCACCGAATCCCATCGCCGCCTCGACGATAGGTGCTTTGACAACGTGTACCGTTGCACGCAGGTCAAACTCGACTTACTGCGTAATCAAGGTTTCAGGGTAGTCGAAATTTGGGAGTGTCAATGGGAAAAACTGAAACGAGAACGCAAAGATGTTTGCGTGTTTGTTGATGCCCTAAATCTCTCAGCCCCTCTAAATCCTCGGGATGCGTTCTTCGGAGGTCGTACGAACGCCTTATGACTCTACCACTAGGTAGACGAGACTCGCGGGGAAAAGATTCGTTACTTCGATTTCATGTCTCTGTACCCGTGGGTCAACAAGAACGGTAAGTACCCTCTGGGACATCCTGAGATCATCTCTCAACCCGGTCATACAGACCTTTCTCGTTATTTCGGCTTAGCGAAATGCACGGTGCTTCCACCCCACGGTCTCTTCCATCCCATGCTACCTTACTGTTACGCCGGCAAACTCACCTTTCCGCTCTGTGCCTCCTGCGTGGTCGAGGAAATGTCCAAACCCTTTCTGGAGCGTACTCCCGTCTGTACTCACACGGATTCAGAACGCCAACTCGTAGGGACCTGGTGCACACCAGAACTCCTCAAGGCTATTAAGAAGGGATACACAGTCGTCTGCGTACACGAAGTGTGGCATTTCCCAACCACTCGCAGAGGGCTCTTCAAAGACTACGTGAACACGTGGCTCAAGATCAAGGAAGAGGCCAGCGGGTGGCCGAGTCACGTGGGCGACGATCCCCTGAAACGTCAACGACACTTGGCTGATTACAGAGACAAAGAGGGGATCGAATTGGACCTGGAAAAGATCGAGAAAAATCCCGGACTGCATACGCTGGCCAAGATGATGTTAAACTCCATGTGGGGTAAATTTGGTCAGCGTACCAACAAGACACAAGTCCGGGAATTTGATGACCCCAAAAAATTTTCCACTTTCTGTAATAGTGACACCGTCAAAATCAAGTACGTTGGTATACAGTCAGATGATCGGGTGGAAGTACAATACACTTTAGAAGAGGAAGACGAATCCATCTCGCCCAACCTGAACATATTCGTGGCCTGTTTCACGACCTGTTGGGCTCGTCTAAAACTCTATGACGCTCTCGACATCTTACAAGAGCGAGTACTGTACAAAGACACGGACTCAGTCGTGTTCCTTTCTGCCCAGGGAATGCCCGAGCCACCACTGGGAGATTATCTGGGGGACTTTAAGGACGAATTGCCCCCAGACGATTATATAGTGGAATTTGCCTCTGGGGGTCCAAAAAACTATGGGTACAAGACCCATAAAGGTAAAGAGGACTGTAAAGTTCGGGGCATCACGCTCAATAGTCTGGGGCAGAGACATGTCAATTTTGAAATCCTCAAAAATAACGTGCTAGAAGACTTAACTTCCCCACTGGAGTCTGGCGAGGCGCGCGTCACCGCCGTACCCATACCATACAAAATCGTGAGGAACGCCCAAGAATACCAATTGTCCACCATGGCCCAACAAAAAAAATACAAGTTGGTATACAACAAGCGCGTGGTGAATCCTCACACGTTCCAAACCTACCCGTATGGGTATGAGCGGTGGACGGAAGAGGACGCGCACGTGTCTGAACTGCTCACTTCTCTCTAATTCTTATACTTACGGTCACCTAGCTTCATCTCACCTCTTTTTACAAAAAACAAAAACAAAAAAACAAAACAAAAAAAAAATTGTAAATAGTGTAAATAGTCCCAGCGACAATGAGTCGAGATGACTACTCGATGATACCCACCCGCATCTTTCGTAGCAATCAGGGAATCAAAACACAAGTCGAAGGTAACCAACCCCTCGAGGCGTGCCCCATTGTCACGGGAGATACGGGTTTAATGCTCTCACACGAGAGGGGGACTGGGAAGTCATTTTTAAGAACTACGCATGCGCATTTTTTTAGGTTACCACATGGATTGGAAAGATCGAAACGTGACATATATATTCATTCGAACCCATCCCAGTTTTAGGTTGTCAGGGTGATAGTGATGACGTCATAGGATAAAAAAGTCAATACTCCTAACTAGAACTGATGACGTCATAGGTCAGGTTGTTATGGTGATAGGGATGACGTCATAGGATAAAAAAATAAATTCTCCTCACTAGAATTGATGACGTCATCATTTACGTCATAGGTCAGGTTGGGAGAATTCGAAAAAATCAGCCCTGAGTGAGCGGATACCACTACTATAATGGACCGAGGATGGTCCCTTGAGGGACGCCGCATGTCAGTGAGTAGCTATTGGAAAGCGACCTGTTCATAGAGCATTTTTGTGTGCGGTTTTCTAGATATGGCTGAAACCATTTGAAAGATTTGCATGTATACCATAATAATTTAGTTTCGATAGAAGAATCTGATGATCAACAGTGTCAAAAGCTTTCTTCAAATCAAATCCAAATTGATTTTTCCGTCATCAATATCATATGCCCAAGAATCTGTCGCTTCCAACAAAGCTGTTACAGTTGAATGATTAGCACGAAACTGCAAATAGGCATATAACTGTTATATATAACTGTTCATAAACTATCCTTTCAAACGTCTTCGCCACTATTGGAATCACCGATATTGGGCGGTAATTTTTTACATCACCGTGGTCACCCTGTTTATAAAGAGGGGAAACCCTTGCATATTTCCAGTCATCTGGGAACGTCCCTTGGTTAATAGATTGATTGAAAATATCACATATTGGTACACAAATAAGATCAGCACATTCCCTGACCAACCTAGCAGATATTTTGTCAAGGCCCGTTGCCTTTGACTTGTCTAGTTTATTTAAAAGTGAAAATACTTTATTTGGATTGGAGCTTAAACGGTTTATCTGTAGCGGTAAGATATCTTTGATAGCCACCACTATCGCAATTTATCTCACTGGCAAGTTTTGGACCAATAGTAGCAAAGTGGTTATTGAATTCGTTTGATAGCTCCAACGAATTAGTTATCGTTAATCCGTTCACTTTTAGTGACGCCACTGACGTTTTCCCAGATTTTCGAGAGGTTAGCTCGTTTATAGTCTGCCAGGTCTTTCGGGAGTCGCTGGTGTGCTTATTCAAACTATTTTGGTAATAAACTAGCTTAGCTGAGCGTATTTGCTTATTGGTTATATTTCTTTGTTTCTTAAATAATGCCCAATCGTTAGGATCATTTGTCTTGCTAACTTTGATTTTTAATATGTCTCTATTATGCATAGAGTCTTTCAATTCAGAGGTAATCCATGGAGAACTCCGTGAACGAACACGCATCGTTTTCAGTGGGGCATGTTTGTCAGCAATATCTAGAAATGTACATTTCCATTGCTGCCACATCACGTTTGGGTTGGAAGACTCATATACATTATCCCAACATTGAGATAGGATGTCATAACGAAAATTTTGACGATCGAAATTTCGGAAATTTCTATATGTAATAGGATTATGTCCATTAGACATTCCGTTCTGGGCAAGTTTTCTATATACATACACCATGCTATAATCACTTATCCCGATGTGACAAACTCCCGAACAAACGATCTTATCTGAGCAGTTGGTATAGATTAAATCAATTAGAGTTGTTATCCTCGTTGGTTCAGAGATGAGCTGCTCGAGTCCGTAGACATCGGCAATACTCCTTAATTTGGATACATCATTGTCATATCGAGTAGTGATCATATCACAGTTCATGTCTCCCAGTACAAAAGATTCTACATTTTCACTATCCAATTTTCCAATTAGGGATTCAAAAGGTGAAAAAATGCCAATAGGAGGGTCAGGTGGTCTGTACCAAGTAACAATCACAAAAGGTTTTGAATTTGGCTTATGGATTTCCAAGCAAAGATTTTCTAATGCATCCATATGTAGGTCATTTCGTACAGTAAAGTTGATTGAGGTTTTTACATAGAAGCATACCCCTCCGCCGGATTTTGTAAGTCTATCGCGGCGAATTATTCGTATCCCGAAATATGAACTTCATGATCTCGAATACTCTCGTTCAGTTTCGTTTCATTTATGGAAACAATATCGATATCATTGTTTGCTAATAGGATTCTTAGCTCGTCTATATGTGTTGTTAATTGATTAAATATTGAGTGATGCCATTTTAAAACCGCGCAAAGGAGGCAATAGTGAGATAGATTTTTCGGCTCTTTGGTTGCTTAAAACACATAATCTCATTCTATGTGCGATTAAAATTATTATAAAACTGCTCATTACCTTTAAAATTTAAGTGCAGTCCACCTTTGTTGAGTCCGCTATGAGATATCTTCTCATGATGGATTAATTTCTATCCATTTTGATGGCAGAACTTCTTTAGATGCTTGTTGGCTGTTTTCACTGCCTGGTCAAGCTTATCTTTTCTGCATACAAGCTCCGACAGCATGACGATAGTATCGCAGGTGCCCTCGATCTGCCTCGCGAGATCCACAATCGATTCCGCAACAGCCTTTGGCTCCCTGGTTTTAAGATCATTAGTTCCAATGTGTAAAATCACTTCGTTGGGCGAAGGTTCTAGATTTGGCTTGAGCTAGTGATTCATGGCCATTGTCGTAGCGCCCGAGAAAGGCTTGACTATAACCCTATGGCTGACTGCTTTTCCCAGATCTTTTCCAGGTATTCTTGAGATCATCGAATCTCCTATGAGCAGGGTTGTGCGCTCTTTTGGTTGTTTTTCGGGTTCGAATTCTTTTCCTGTCAAGGTGTTGTTGGAAGCTCCTTTGTTTTTCGATTTCTTTCTCTTTTTCTTTGATTTCACATTGAAGCCTTGTTCTTTGTTGGCGCAAGGTGTTGATTCATCCATACTTTGGACAATGGTATGTTCATTAAAGGTGTTATTCGCTGAACGGCATTGAGTAGCTGCTTCTCTGGATACGATTTGCAATGCAAAACTTAAAGAATCGCGTTCTTGGCCTACTCTTTTATTTTCTTCCTTCAAAGATATAATTATATCCCGAAGTCGAGAATTTTCGGATCTCAGGTCTTCCTCTTTAGGTTTCTCTTTTATATGAGCCCATAAGTTCAGCACTTCAGAATTTAGACAGTCCAACTCCTCTTGTACTGATTTGGCGTTCTAGTTAAATGTCAGAGTAGAAGCTTCTTCTTCATTCACAAGAATAACCGAGTCGTCATCAACCGTTAACTGGAGTAGCTTCTTCAGTTTGGCTTTCATTGCCTTTGCTTCCGGACCTTGGACTTGAAGGGTGCCGGTACTGTTAAATAAAACCAACGTTATTGTCTTCGACTTCAAAGAACTAGACCTTTCAGAGGGACTCGCGGTTGCAGAAACTTCCAAATTCAGGACATTCGAACAAAATTCCTGAAGTTGTGGTAGGCTTCCTTTCCACTTGAATAGACTTTGTTTGTCGTCCCAATGTAGGTATTGGTTTAAGGGAGTTAAAGAAGGTTCAGTGCCAACAAATTCGACGGAATTCGCGGAGCCCTCAGATACACGTGCGCACGCCATTACAGCATGTGGTAATGTGGTCACTCGGAGAAAACCTGAGTTCGGCTGATATTAATATTGAGGGCGCAGAGACATTCGTATGACGCAAATGAATATGAATGAAAGCAATGCAGTATATATTCCAGCTCTCTACTAATGAAGCAATTGTAACGGCATACCATGCAATCCCACACAATACGTAACCCATGATAAATTCAGACCCCTCCTAATTGTGGTGGGTATAGCTTCCACTCACATCCGTGCCTTGTGGTAAATTTGTCGAACTGTTTAAGTTCCATTTCTAGTAGTACTTCGTGTAACTCAGTTCGTCCTCTGATACAGCTCGTTCCTCTGTCTTTCCTTAGGACGGCTGCTGGACCACATATAGCGAAGAAGCGCCTCAGTGCGCAGACGAAGGAGCTTGCGTCCATTGACTCCAGTAGCTCAATGTGCACTGCTCTGCTGCTCAGGCAGGTGAAGAGAAGACCCCAACGTTTTGACTGCACAACTCCACCTCTAGTCTTCCGCGTGTAGATAGTCCCGAGAACCAAAAACATCAGACCCGACATTTGTGAACGGCAGGCCAACTTCGGCTTCTTGCAAGTTTTACAGCAGCCCAATGCTTTTGCTACCATACCATGACCTCCCATGAGCCAATAGCCAGCTTGTCGAATCATTCCGTTTGTTATCTGTCGGCCTGGTGATGGATTTGCTCGTGGTAATGGCAAATTATCAATGGGAAATGTGGTGGTCCTTTGGTAGGTGAGCAGGGTGTTCCTCTCCATACTCCATTTTTGCTCTCTTAAGTCATCCTCCCACTCGAAGGATTCCTTTCGCATCGATGAGAGGGTCAAGTCGGTAAAACTGGAATCCTTTCAGACTTCTTCCTTTCCACACTCCGATCTATTTCCTCCTTCCTCTTTCCTCTAGTCAAGTTGGTGAAGCTGGAATCCTTTCAAAGACCTTTTTCTAGACTATATGTTGAATACCACTGCCCTATAACTCCTCACCAAAGGCCTCTTTCTGTGTTACTCAGATGATTGATTACATTCATCACTCGAATTAGATCTTCGTTGGGGCTTGAAATCCTTGACCTTTGCAGTTAGGTGTGCGATGGCGCGTCTAAAGGAAGGGAGACTACTAAAGGATGAAAATCTTTGAGCTCCTAAATCTTCACGTTTCTGTAGACGTG